CCTCTGACATCACGTACCACATGACCCTGCGTAGGCCGCCGCCCTCAGGCAGGTCAGACGTTCACGGCAGGGTGGCGTTGTGCTGTGCCTCTGACATCACGTACCACATGACCCTGCGTAGGCCGCCGCCCTCAGGCAGGTCAGACGTTCACGGCAGGGTGGCGTTGTGCTGTGCCTCTGACATCACGTACCACATGACCCTGCGTAGGCCGCCGCCCTCAGGCAGGTCAGACGTTCACAGCAGGGTGGCGTTGTGCTGTGCCTCTGGCATCCGCGTAGCGAGCATGGGGGCCAGATACTGTCAAATGAGCTTCACACCTCTGTCGTGCTTTTTATTCTGAATGTTGAGTCATTTATATAATGACACATTGATGTGCTTTGGACAGGGCCCGTATTAATGCTACTGTATTTAACAGACGCCATGTCCAAGATCGGCTGTCTGTGCTTACGTGGGCTAATCAATGCCTTTTCCGTACTGTCATCCGTCCATCACCTAGACAACGGTTCTAGAGTCATCCACACTAGAATAGACAGGCAATAGACAACGTTACAAAAGCCCTATTACTGCAAACTGCTGCATGCATTTGTAAAACTGTCATTTTTTTTAAAGGAGCTAAACAATGTTAGTGCACGAGAGACCATTTAAGCCACAGTTTCCAAACCGTGCAGAAACAGACTCTGGTTGGTCTGTGCTCCTGCTATTTCCTTCATGTGCCGAATGAAGACAAATGGCTAAAAGTACAGTGAGGTGCTGTATCGCCGCTTGTATTTCACAGCCAGGATCAATGTAGCAACCGGAGGCCACATGCTGAAATAATTTCAAGGGCAAGAGGGACGTCACTGCAGAGCTGCGCTCCAAACCGGCCTGTATAAATAATGCGTGTCTAATTACACCAAATGACAGCAGTGGCAGAAACACAAGACAACTTGGCTGTCTTTCTGCCACCAGGCTGTTCTTCCCCATTGCAAAAACAGAGGGAAAAAGTTAAAAATAGCTGGGCGACATCGGTGAGAAGGACTGACCCATTTCTGATGGCGAGGATCACAAAGGAAACCAGTGTCTTAAAACCAGTGCTGATGGATTCTCTTTAATGACAACAAATGTTAGCAGGAAGCTGAGGCGCGTCGAGGCGCTCAGATGCCGTCTTGCCGCTCGACCACGTCCACCACCTCCTTTATGGCTTTCCCAGGTACATTTATTTTGGGGTCACTGTACCTTTCTGTGTACAGTAAGGGGGGACCTTACACCTCGAGGTGAACACAAGGCCCGTCATCGCTGAAGAATAGGAGGGACATACAGATTGACAGGTACGGCGGAATTTGACCGAAACGTCATATTACGTTATTACATCAAATTATGCTGTCTTCCAGAGCGGCCACAATGTGTGGCGTTCTGCTGTCCAACGATGCAGACACGCCATGTCAAGTCACCCGATTCAACTCAGACACACAGTCCGGGTACTTCCATGGTGGACAACTCTGCAGAAGATAGAGAGATTTACTGCAGTGAAGCAGTCTCACTGCAGTGCTGAAGCTGATTCAGTGCTGGCTGTGACTCCCCCATGCCAGCGCAATTTAAATACAAAAAAAAAAAAGTAAAAATTAAAAAAAAAAAAAACCCACGCAGGACAGCTTCCAGCCAAAGTCTCCAATTTTGAACATGCTGTGTTTTTCCCAGTAACTGATATTTCTTTTCATCAGAACTGTACAATCTTGTACCTAAATATTAAACCATGCTGCCTTATTCCAAAGTAAAACACCTATAGCAGCAAAAATTAAACACATTTCAAGAGATTTACAATAAAAAGGAGGGAAAAAAAAAACATTGTACAGAATCTGCTGAAATTCAAGAATAACTGAAATTGACTCCTGTACAGTAAATATACATTTATTTTCTAAGAGGGTTTTTTTTTTAATCTTCCTGCATAGGATTCTATACATTGCAGTTTGTCTACATTTGGTTACTTTGTGCATTCCACAGTATGAGCCTGCATGAGGAGAAGGGGGCGCCCTTGAGTCCTCAGTTTGCCAGACAGCTGTGCCCCCCCCCAGGTTCAAAGGAGGCGCTCGGCATAGAGCGAGACTCCCTTTCCTCGCATCGCCGCCGACGGCAAGACTGCTGTGGGAACCACGGGACTCCCGAAATAAACTGACGGCGGTTTAATCCTCCGTGCTGGGTGGACGCAGAGACCTTAGAACAGCAGGCTGCCCTGTTTCCCTCTCTGTCTTCCAGGCCATCCAACCAGCAAGACAACTCAAATTACAGGAGTCACGTTTCAAGCTACTTTGACGCAGTGCTCTTGAATCTGCGGCCTCTGTCAGGCCCCACTTGAAATGGAAGAAAAAAAAAAAAAAGATCAGTTCTTTCTTTTTTTGTTTTTTTTTGTTTTTAACGTCCATTTTCGTTCCTTGAAAGTAAACACCCATATGTAGCCCGGCGTGTCCTACGCGGTAACCAAGCGTCGTCACGGCAACATCCGAAGGGCCCGCGGGGGGGCTGAGTCCTTTTTCACTTGCCGAGTGGTTGCCGTGGCCTTGGGGGGTGGGGTGGGTCGAGAACACTGTCGCTCGGAGTGAGCTCTCAGTAGGAGGTGATGCCGGAAGGGGGGGGGGCGGAGGTGCCAGAACCACCCATCTGCAAGTTCCCTGAGGAGTTGGACCGTCTCATGTGTGGAAGCAGGTAGGAGTCACTACCGAGCTGGTGCACGTCGATGCGGTCTTCCTTTCGGTACGCCAGACAGCGCCTTATGAAGCCCTGGTGAAAACAGCATTCCATAACCATCCATCCAAAGTTGCCAGGTGCAAGACAGCAAGAAATCGTGATTATAAATCTGTCCACTAGATGTCAGCAAACACTGCCAACTCCTGATAACAGTACATATGGGAAAAATCTGCGTTTCCTCTTAAATCAAACAGCGATGGATGACATTGAGGATGAAACGCTGTATGTTTCATGGTGAAAATCATTCCTCACCTTGGCTTCGTTACTGGCTACAGGCTTGACAGGGAACTGGACTTCAGTGGCTTTGAGTATGGTGTTCTCCTGCAAGATGTCCTGCTGGGACTGATTGTGGCCAAATGGC